AATATATCCTGCTATTTTTTTTCCTTTAATTAAAAGGATAAAGATAAAAAAGTAAATAATGGAGTGGAGATTGAGATAAAAGAGGGCATAACAACGAAACAGCACAGATCAAAACATAACCATTTAAGCAGAATAGTGTTTCACCACCAGATAATCCTAACCTAAAAGTAGTTACCATATTGTTTCTTTCTTTGAAATCCTTGAGTACAACTTCGTATACTGTAGCATTAAGTATATCAAAACAATGTAAAACCATTCAAGAGAATGACAGCATTACAGAGTATTTAGAATCGACTAACAAAATGAACAATGGTTTCTGTATAATCTCCTTGATTTAAAGCCCTGTATTACTCTCACCATCTGGTTTTTAACTGATGTTCCCCTATTCTGTTTTGCTGGATAGTATCAGGTTCGAAAGTTTAGGCATCAGCTGTGAAGATAATGAGATTCATTATGACGCCCATTCTTGTTGACTTTTGTCTACTTTTGAAGACCTACAATGTCTCCAATGTTTTGGTTTTGTCGGTTTTGTTCTTTACTGTTTTGTTCAATTGTATTATAACTAATGATATAGGCAATTCTATTAGAGATAGCGGGAGGCATTATGGTAACCATTGTTGATCACCTTGTATTATGTTTTTACATTATCTATTATGTCCACCCTTTTGACTTGACCGATTCTGTTCTGTTATGTCACATTTGGTTTTACTCTCTTCCAAAAAAGCAATAAGAACCGTGGGAGCAATGAAACCCAAAATGTGTAATAGTCATGGTACAAAAGAGAAGAAAAGAAAGTGCTCCAAACTATATAACTGCATGTATATTTAAGTGTATAAGATAGAAAATGATATCACAGAGTTTTATTGGATCAATGAACAGAACTGTTTGCAGTATCATTGATGGAATGTCCACTTTACAAGCTCTAATTTTGTGACTTGAACAATTATTTCTAAGATGACAATATGTAATCCATTAACTAGTGATTTCCTACTGTTCATTTTTTTTCTGTAAATCTGTATAACTTGTACCCTTTCCCTGCTTTTTTTTCTTTTCTCCTTAAATAAAATTAAAAAAAAAAAAAAGAAATAATAATTTCTTGTTTTGACCATTTAGTGTGTATAACCTCATGACCACAGTACTAGTGAAATAATACAAATCTACCTGTGGCAGATATTTCAGTGATGTATGGGTGATCTGCATTCACTTTGTGTCCTGATGATCAACAGCACCCTTAGACTTAGATCCTGGCTGTATGATAACTATTAGACTTTCCCAGATCACTTTGGTCCGACCAATGACTACAGTGGTACAGACACAATAACAAAGAAAAAATGTAATCAAGACAAAAAGTAACTAAAATAACAAAATTACAAACAATATATTCCATATTCCAAAATGTCAGGTACTCAGACATCAAGATGACATACATTAATTATTAATTCACATTAATTTAATTAGGTACTCAGTTCTTATTACTATAAAAATTTCAAAACAGTTTTACTCTTGAGAAATCGAGTTATATATAAACAGATACTGTAATTAAAATATCTCATAATTTTACTTTAAATGCACTGTTAAATTTCTTAAAATCTACTAGTAAATACTGAATGAATGTAGGATGAATTATTGAACATAAGAAAAATCATCAGGCAGGATTTATCCCAGAGAGGTAAGGATGATTTAACATATGCAAATCAGACTGTGTAAGACATAACAGCAACGGAAGCAAAAACAAAAATCACATGACCACCTCATTATATGCAGAAAAGACCATGGACAAAATCCAAAATTCCTTTATGATACAAATCATGAAGAAAATAAGTATATGAAAACCTTATATTAATCTGATAAAAACTATTTGTGACAAACCTCCTGCCAATATCATATTATACATGAAAAATTGGAAGTTTTCTCTGTAAAATTAGGAAAAAATATAAGAAGAACCACTATTACCACTTGTGTATAATGTAGTACTTGTACCATTAGCCATAGCAATCAAACAAAAGAAACAAATAATAGGGATATGTATAGATAATGACCACTTCATCATTATTTGCATATAACTCAAGCTTCTGGATACAAGACCCAAAATTATCCACAAAAAGAGTCCTACAATTAATATCCAAATTCAGTAGCACACCAGGATACATCAACCCCCAAATATCCATAGTGTTCCTCTACCCCAATAATGAACTCACCAAGAAAGAAATTAGGAAAACAATATTATTCACAATATTACTGAAAAATTTAAACACTAAAGGTGAAACACCTCTAAAACAAAAACAACAGCACTAAGAAAAAGGAGATTGAAAAGGAAGTCAGAAAATAAAAACATATACCTTTTTCTTACAATACAGAATCAATATTATCAAAATTGTCACTTTTCCAAAAGTGATTTCCAGATTTACAGGATTGTAATAAAACTACCCACAGCATTCCTCACAGAACTAAAGAAAACAAACCGTAATTCATATGGAGCCAGAAGAAACCCAGTTCTGTGCAGCAAGACCCAAGTAGGAGGCATCACCACCCAGGAATTCAAGTTACATCGAAAAGCTGCAGTGGGTAAAGGGCAACGACATTGGCAAAAAACAGATGTGTAGATCACTGGAACAGAAAAGAATACAAAACCACCTCCAGACAAAGCCAGCCATCTGACTTTTGACAGGGGGCCAAATACACTTCCTGGAGGGAAGACAGCCGTGTAACAAGTGGTTCTGAGAAAACGGGCTTCCATATGCATAAGACTGAATCTAGACCCACACCTTTCTCCATGCACTAAAGTAAAGTCAAAGTGATAAAAAATTTCATGTTAAAACAAAAAGAGTCAATCAGCTGGAAGACAAAATAGGTAAAGTTCTTAAATACATAGACACCGTCAAGGACTATCTCAAAAGAATTCAGTTGCACAGCAGATTATATGAAGACCTAAAACATGGAATCATATCCCATTAAAAAGCTTCTGTAGAGCAAAGAAAGCAACCAACAGAGAGAAGAGACATCCTACAGAATGAGAGATAATTTTGGCAGCTATTCCTTGGACAAAGGTTTAATATCTATAATATATAAAGAACTCAAACATTTAGTTCCCCTCAATAAAAGACTCAATCAAAATGGGCAAAGAAAATGAATAGAAACATCTCATGATACAAGTGGCAGACAAATACATGAAAACATGTTCAAAATCACTAGTCACTGTCAAACAGAAACTGAAATAACATTGTGCTTCCAATTTACTCCAGGAAGAATAACTATCATAAAGAAATCAAAAATTGGTAAATATTGATGAGGCTACAGGAAAAAGGAACCCTTCTATATTGTTGGTTGGAACATAAATCAGTTTAACCACTACAAAAATCAAAATGAGGATTCTCAAAAAACAGACAAAACAAAAAAATAGGAATTCCCTTTGACCCAGCTATTTCTCTTATAGATGGCTTCCCAATAGGATTAAAGATAGTATCACTGTAATATATAGATACTCTATATAGTAGCCTTAGTCATAATTAACTCTTGGACACAATCTTATATATATCAACAGAAGAATGGGTTTTAAAAGTTGGCATTTATAAACCATGAAGTACTGCTACCCCATAAAGAAAGATAAACAGTCATTTGTAGTGAGTGCACCTTGAGGCCATAATGTTAAATAAACTAAACCAGACACATGAGCTTAAATAATGTATGGTTTCTCTTATAAGATAAATTCAAAGTATTAATGAAAATCAAAATATTTCGATAACAGGAAATGAAAGGATAGATCTACAGTCTATGGGACAGGGACTGAGAGCCAAAGACACACAGGAGACAGGAGAATGGCAGGGCCAGAAGACTTATGAAGATGTGCTCTGTACATGTACCAGCTCCACACTACGGTACCAGCATTATGTTCCGCGAACATGTATGAATAAAAACGACACCAATTTTGCTTAATCTAGGTGATGAGACTATCAAAGAGTTACTCATGAAGCAACTGTGATACAAAGTTTATAAGTAAATAACGCTCCAAACTGTAGAGACACGTGGTGACTGAGGCTGTTGTTCTATAAGGTCGGCTCTCTTAAGCAAGCTTTGTTTAACTACAAAGGATGCGTGACATGACGTCACGCAAACTGCCCCCCACCCCGCCCCTGCGGTCTGCAGTCACTGTTAAGATCAGGAATGGAATCCACGCACACCATTTCACCAGGCCATCAAGACACTGACAAAGTTTGTCAGTTCCATTGCAACTTTCCTATCACCCCAATTTGACTTCTCTCCATTACTCCCTAGAACTTGTATTTGTTTTTGGAGAAAATTTGTGTTCTCTAATTACATTTCCTTTACTAATCATAAAGAGTTAGATTCCCGTACATACCTGGATGTAACAGTGCAATCAGGGCTCAGTGACACACAAGGGCAACTCTTTTGTGCCAAAATGGTTCAAAAGAAAGACCTTCTACTAAGTCTTCTCTTTAATAATTTTTCATATAGCTTCTATTTTCAAGAAATGATATTGATAAAATGGACTAATATTAAAACCATATTGAATACATTATAATTGATCTGCATTTGGTGAAAAGCACTGGGGCACGTGAACAAATCTTGCCTCTTCCATCAGAGATGTGCAGTGCGCTAGTGATGTGAGCTGGCCGGTTTAACAGTCTCTGAGACCAAACCAGCCTTCACAGACTGACAGAAATTTCATGTCACAGGGGCTCGAGGATGCATCAGGAGAGATTTGATAATGTACATAAGATAGAAAGATTGTAAACTCCTTTAGATATTTAAGGTATAAATATCTACCTTAGGGAGATTTCTCTTTTAAATTGTAAACATCATAGAACTGCTACTTGAAATTAATATTTCTGGTAAAGTAGTCAGCTATTGATTTTTAACTATATTCCTATATTCTTTAATAAAATAGAAAAATATATATTTTATTATCAGAGTTAATTCTGACAATATAAATGTAATGTGTGCCTTACATTTAAGGTTGTTGGTTTAATCATTAATCATACCTGAGTCAGTTCGTTAATATCTACAAGTCCATTACTGTCTGCATCAAAATATTTAAACATTTGATCCACCAACAGCTTCTTCCGAGACACGTCATCACCATTAGGATTTTCATTGTCTTGCGTGATATATTTTTGTTTTTGTAAATCTAAAAGCATGCTTTTCATCTTGTTGTACACATTGGTCTTGCAGTTATCTCCTGTAACAAAAGAACTAAGTTATTTTCAGAGCAATAGTTTTGAAAATAAATAATCTATGAATACTTAGAATTTGGTAGTATATAGGCTCCCTTAATTTTGAATACTTATACCTTGGATAAGAAAATAACAATGTACTATTATCAAGGACAGATAGAAAACTTTCAATTCTTACGAATTTCATAACAGCATATTTACTGAGAGTTCTCTGTTTAAAAGATGTCGATGATTTGCAGAATTTGGGAAAACACAGTAGCTTCACCAGCACCAGCGTTTAAATCACTGTCTCCATGAAACACAGGTCCGAGAAATGAACTGCCCACGGCAAAGGGCTGCACTGTCCTGGATCGTGTGCTAAATTAAAGTCATTCATATCTGGCTCCAAAAGATTACACCATTGTTAAATCTAATATGTGTTCTAGAGACTGGATTTCTTTTGAATAATTGCTTTTCTCTCTCAGACACACACACACACATTCTTTTCAAATCCTGTCTGCCCTAGTCGCATATTAAGATCATATTAGCATTCCTCCCACAGTCTCTCTGTATCGCTCTGATACTCATTTCTCTCTCTTTTTAGGGAACCCAGGATACAGCACAGTATACAATTGTACTTTGCATCTTGAAACTTTAACTTTGCAAACCTTATATCCTAGGGAAAGTATAATCATACTTTGGTCTACATACAGTACAGATTTTCAGGGTTTCCCGTGTAATAACCTGTACAATGCTGAGGGCATCATATTAAATGATAGTAATTTCGTAGTTGTAATTTTTTTCAAAAAATTAAACAAAAAACAAAACTACCAAAATTGCCGTATCTTCACTTAATTAGCTTGCAAAGAATTTTACTTATAATGTCCATATGATTATACATTTATAGACAGTGTATTGAAATGAAATGCATACTATTGCTAGCAAGTATGATAGGAAATATATTATAGCAAAATACAATACATAATCCAATTTGAATATGAAACAGTAGGTAGTTGAGAATATTTTACAACATGATTTTAGGAAATATCCTGGCATATAATTGCAGTCAATTTTGAAAATTAGGCTTTGACAGCATCTATAAAATTAAAAGAAGATTTTTGAAGATTTTTAAAATATGTCTGAGAAGACTGGAGCTGAAAAACAGTATTTAAAGTTTCATTCTCTTCTAGGACAAGACAGAAAACAATTCATTTGAGACAGATGAGATGCGAGCTTCTTTCTCAAAGACAGTGAAATGACTGTTGTTGTTTAGCAAATTTTGCATTTAGCAATCCTGGCAAGCAGTTCTTTCTTAACCACAAAGTGTAAACCTGGGGATGCAGATTAAGTCACATTTCTGAGAAATAATAATGACAGGTTTTCTTGGTGGCAGAGAACTCACTGCCACAAGAGATCAGCAATCACACCCAGAACCAAAGCTAGCAATTTTAAGTGTTGGGAAAGGAGTACAAAGGAGCCTGTAGGTGTGTGTTTGTGCTTAAGCGTATGCACATGTGAGCACTGTAAAGGAGAGGCACCCGCGGTAAGAGAGGGTAAAGAGCAGGAGCCGATTCCTGAGTCTCCTGCACTCATCTGAGAGCTGGCTATAGAGGCTGGAGGAAGGTGGTCCAAGGCCCTGGACCCCTGGACTTCACATCATAACATCAGTGCAAAGCAGCTGGGAGACAGGATGGAAACACTGGAGACATTTTCACTGATATTGGGGATTGGAGGATGGGAGAAAGTTTGGCTTGTAAATCAGTGTCTCATAATCTTACTAATGAGTTTGTTTCCCAAACTATAAATTTCTTCTCAGCTCCCCCGCTTTGAAGTGGCTGCTGAAAATCCAAAGAAAATAGCAATTAAAGCAATGATGTTAAGATTCTCATATTCAAACAAAATATACATAATAAACAGTCACAAAATTTAGCAGTGAAATTTCCAACTTTAATAAAAATATGGCACTAACTTTTTGGTAGTAAAAAGGTTTGTCTGTTATTAATCCGAGATTTTATGAAGCAAAGTCTTCCTGTGTGTCAAGACCTTTATACATACTGAATCATTTTGCACATATTAATTATTGCAACAAAAAAGGAAATAATGTTTTACAGATTTTAAAAAAAAAGCCATAGATTAACTAACTTGTTCACATTTCCAGAGCTGCAAAGAGGAATTAATGAATTAGCTTTATGTTAATGAGGATTTATCCATAGGAATGCCCGTAAAACAACACAAAAGCCAACACATGAAATAAAGAGGGTCAAAGTAATCTCCAGTCCTGCAGCTTTAACAGGCTTGGTCTGGCTCCCAAATCAGGGACAGCTCTGTCCACAGGGAAGGATGATTTCTAAGCATGGGCAGGCTCTCTCTTTTAGATCCCAACTTTACTTTTCTGATCATCAGGATTGAATTTTTGTTGGCACTTAATGTTTATAAATTAATTTTCATATGAATTTAGGAAATTTTTCAAGAACTATTTTTAAAGTGAGAGGTGACTATAATAATAACTAGCCAAGACAACTGCTCATATTAAAAGTCGAGAAAGTGATTTCACCCTAAAAAAGCAAATAACTGAGTGGTGTCAGATAAACCCAATGCAGACACTGGAAAAAAAGTCAAACAGTGTTTCAAGAAAGAGAGAAAGATGACAGTCAGCTGTGTCAGAGTGAAAGTATGAAAATAAAACGTATCTCTGCACTTTTATATGGTGATAACTGGTCAATTTAAAGGACATGCTTTTGTGATGAGAGTATGTTTCCTTTTACATTGCGTTAAGAAATAAATATAAAGTGCAGATACATAAGTATTAAATATTTTACTACACCTTGGATAATCATCAGTGGAGAAGAAGAACTGGTGGCTTTGCAGACGAATTGCTTTTTGGAAATGTGCTGCCCTTTCTCCCCCACTCAAGAGAAGCACAGGACAGGACAGCAGGCAACTTCCGTTCTTTTGTTTATTTAGTTGACTTTTCCAAACCTACCTGAGCAAAATGTTGAATTGATATTGCTGAGGGAAAGGAATGTTTTCCTACCTAGATTCACTTTCTGCTCTGAGATGCAGGAAGCAATTTCCCAGGCTGCCACTGTCTTAGACAGGGTGGCTCTGCTCGGGAACACAACCGAACCCCTCCTCGCAGGTCCTGTGCGCCTCTTTCTTCCTGTGGAAGTAGTGACTGTGGGACCACGTTGCTCTGTCTTCAGAGCCATCCCGGAGTGTCACACACACTCCTGCCTGGGCGTCTGTACTTACAGAGTCCTGACAACCAGATGACTGACCTGAGCAGACAGCAGCACTCAGCAAGGCTCCAGAAGCAGGAGAGCCACTCTCCCAAAACTGAGGTCAAGTAAGGGCTCTGCGTGCAAGATGAGAGTTACCCTCGCAAAACAGAGGAGCACCTGAAGGCTCCGAGTGAGTGAGGAGAGTCAGCCTCACAGACTGAGGTGCACTCAGGGCTCCGTGTAAAATGCTAACACACATGGTGGTCATTGCAGGTGCCATCAAGTATACTTGGTTTAATAAGTTTTGCAAAGGCTGTAATTTTTTTATATATTTAAAATAGTTTTTATTTTTTATGGCAATTTTAGGTTCACAGAAATGTTAAAGAAACAAAGTTACGCATAATTTTTGTACACATTTTGCTGATTGTTACATTATGTTAGTAATGTACTAGAGTAAGTATATCTTATATTAGTGTGGTTTAGTTATTGAACCAATATTAATACATTATTATTATTATCAACTAATGTCCATGCTTTATTTGTATCTCTTGTATTTAAAAGGATGTAATTGATATATTATGTTGTGGTCTTTGTCTGAAAGCCATAAAATTTCAATCTAATCATGAAAAAAAGTTTAGACAAATTTCAATAAGTTCAAATGCTAAGCCCCTACAATATATCTAACTAGACTCTTCAAAACTGTCAAGGATATCAAAAACAAAACAAAACAAACAACTATTAGACAATGCCAAAATAATTTGTTCATGTCTTTTTAAAATTATATCTTTATTATTCCCTGCCATCCTTTAGTAAAAAGCACCAATTCCATCAACACAAAATATTTAATACAAAATATATAAGAAAATAATTTTTATCTTTTAAAATATTCAGCTTTAGAATTTGTTTACCTCGCTTCCAATACAAAATGGTCTTGAAATCCAGTGAATGAATAAAAGTAAAATTTTACAATTTTAGCATTAGTCTTATCCAAGTATTGCAAAGTATATTGATACTCTTTTTTCTTAAGCAACTTAGAAATTGCTAATAGAATACTTTTAAATTTTGAGTAAATATTTTGTATTTGTAGTCTACAGAATATATTAAAATTTCAGCTTATTGGTCTAATCTGTATATGTGAATCAAATTGAGTTGGGTTACTTCTAACAGCCATGATGAGTAAAAGTTAAACTATGCACATGAGTGACCTAGCTCAGCTTGTTTAAAAAATAATCTGCATGTAATTAAAATAGAAAAGTTCAATATCCACTTCAATGTAAAATGCATACTGGTGAATTATACTGTGTTCCATGATGTTTACTTAAATGTATTACAGGTACACACAAAGTTAATATATGCTTACTCTGTACTGCCACATTAGGGAGGTTTGGGAGGACAAACTCTCCTTATTATGTGACTTCATGAGACAGTACATTTAAAAAGCCATTGGTTTATCATAAGAAAAAGAATCTAATGATTATTTTTAGAGACTCTCCTGAGATTCTCTGCCCCTTACCAGGTAGAACTTTCCCTACGCTCAGCACCTCTCAGCACCTCACACCAGAGTGTGACAGTCAGTGAAAACCTGACACAGGATTGCTCGTGAGATCCATCAGAATCCTTGGCACTGTACATCCTGTGGTCCTTCACTAATACCCAGGGACACGAGTCTTCATTTTAGCACCCTACTGCTCTGATGTCCTCTGTGCTCGGCTCCACCCTCCTTCCTGACCCTCGACTCCCAAAAGTCTCCAAAATTTTGCATTAGCCAGAGTACCTCAGAGCTGTAATCATGTAACTCACAGCTT